GTGTTTTACTTTTTCAGAGAGTTGTTGGGTTAGAAAATTAGACATTTTATCAATGCACTGAAATGAACAAAAAAACTGTTTCCTGAATTCCTTTTTCAAGTTTATAGATCACTTTTAAGGTTGGGGGTCATAGATTTACTTAGAGTAAATTATTCATAATGGGAAAGTCATGGCTGAGGTTTTTTTTTAATTTACTTTTTCTTAGGTATGGTCTCATTTAAACCCATTTTCTTTGGAACAAAGATTTCTATTGATTTGATCAAGAAGTAGGGAGGAAATTAAGAGCAAACAAGTGTGCTTTGTCCTATAAGGCAGCCAGAATCTCTAGAGCAAGAATGGGTTTAAAGATGATGAACAGTTTTATCTCTATAAATGTAAAATTTTCTGGGGATCCAGACCCCGGTTTGGTAGGCAAACTAACAAGCTAGCTTCCTAACCTCCATCTTGCATGCAAAAATCAACTGCCTGGGGTGTAAGTCAGTCTTTTCAGATTAACAATATAGATTTAACATGGGTGTGCAGCCTTTGCATCTCTGCCGGGTCCTCTTCATTGGGGAGGAGACTGGATATTTTGGGATGGGGACAATTTAGAACCAGAAGCTCCTCCTACAAGAATAGCTACTTTCTTAATGTCAGTGACTCACTGGTTCTCGTTGTGTAAACTAAATTCAAACTTATGCTTACTGGGAACAGTTTTCACCAAGTAAAATCTGTTGGACTCTCTCCAGATCAGATCCGCACTTTAACTAATAAGCTCTTTGTCTAACTATACTTTGGACTTTATTTTTCAGCTAATAGTGCTTTTATACAAATCAACAGTAAATGTACGGCACTAACTAGCAAGACAGGTATATGTGCATATGTGCACACATACACCAGCCCTCAGGCTAGAAGAACAAAATGAAGAATATCTTAAAGGATTTAGTTTGGATCAATTCCTGAAACATCAACAACAGCCTGGGCCAAAAATACAAGATCTAAAAGAAGGTCATTGAGCTAAATGAGAGCATATTTGGCTAAAGTCCAGAAACCAAACTCTACAGAGAAAGAAAACTGCAGTGCAGTGATTTTATTAAATTAATTTGGGATTTTATTTTAATTTGGATTTTCATATCAAAGCATCTAAAATGTCAGAGATAACTATTGTGACTCCCATATTTGTGATGTAATATATTTTTCCTTTAATTCACATGTAAATATTATAAACTGATTTCGTCAGTGACCTAGACTTAGATGCCATGGGGGGAAACAGAGATAAGAAAGACAGAGTCTGGACTTTCCATTGATTTGTTCATAATCTAGCAGGAAATAATGGCACCAATAGAACAGTAGAGTAGTAACAGCAGGTGCTTAATACAGTGACCACACTTGTGTCAGGCACTATTCTAGGTGCTTTAACTTTATCAGTAATTTATAGCAAACCTATGAGTTTGATGCCATAGGGAAGAACCTACACATGGTGATGTTATAGTATGAGGCCCCACTCGCTATCTGAATGCCTGCTTGATTTATGTAGCAGGAAAAGGAGGAACAGGGCAGGCACCCACATATTCTGTACTACATGGCTTTGTGCAGCTCATGAGCTACGGATGGTTTTAGATTATGAAATGATTGAAAACAATTGATGGTTTTTGTATGACAAGTGAAACATATAAAAGTTAGATTTGGAGAGTCTACAAATGAAGTGATCGGCACACAGCCACACAAATTCATTTATGGGTGGCCCACGAAACCTAATTATCTACTATCTAGTTCTTATAGGAAACGATTGCCTATCTAGTTATAATCTTATTTTTTTTAATCCTAAAGTTTCTGCCTTGTTTAATGGCAATGCATTTAAACAATCCTATTGTACAGTTTAGGAAAAAATATACTATGTAAGTTGTTCTCTCGCTTAGTGTTTGGCACAGATGTCATTTGGCAGATGAGAAAACAATGTATAGAGGTGCAGAATGCCCTCTCATCACTAGTTGGGGTCTATGTAACTCTGATTTGACTCCAGGTTTATTCTACATATTGCTTGCTGTTGTGAGCCATATTGGGGGGGACAGTGCTTTGGTAAAATTTCCAAATTATATAACCTCTAAAGATGTGAAGTTTGAAATACTGATTAGAATCTATGTAGCTATTAACCTTTATTACTTTCCTGTTCCTCCTCCTTTATATTTCTTTAACTGATGTTTTAATTTTTTTTCAGTTATAACCCTGCTCATTAAATCTAATAGTTAAGAAGTATATTGCTTGCATAGAAATCAATAAGAGAAGCAGGGATTAAAATTTGATTGCAAAAGTTTTCTTCAATTTGTGTAACCTTCCTAACCATCGCACCACACCCTCTTTGAGAAGTAAGATGTTCGACTTAGTCTGACTTGCTCTGAAAATCATTCTCTGTAGCCATTTGTTTTGTCTGCTGTCTTGATTCATAGCCTTTCATAGGGATTCTTGCTCTATTTTCCTAATAGCTTTTAGGCAGCCAATCACCACACGTGATTCCGTGTTCTTTCCTGACATGGTGGCAACCAGATGTCTATACCTCATGTTGTTGCCTTTTAGATGTTTACAAAAGCAGTTGCTATAAAATAATTGCATGCATTTGTGTAGTGAAGTTTAAAATTATTCTTTTATAAGTAAGTCAAACTTGTCATTGAATACAGAATTACATGGTATCTCTTGGATACCATGAATGAATATTTTAAAGGTGGTTGTGTCTTCAGATCAAGTTAAAAGGAGATGGTAAATAGAGTCTTTCAGCACATTTTAACCTACATAGATATATAATGTGTGAAAATAAGATTTCTTGTGTAATTCGTTAGCTTTATAAGTAATACAAGGACAAAATGAATAGGTTAATATCCTAGATATTCATGAGCATGTTTAGATTTTCTAAATAAAATGAATTTAGGTAGAAATAAATACCTTGTGTTATTCTTAGTTTTCCCAAATTAAATATTGGATTACATGTATAGACTGAAAACACTTTAATTCTAAGTTCAGGTTTCTTACAGGAAGATTTGCATCACAGTGTCCTGATGAGTCTTTTAAAATTACATGATTATTTCTCACCTAGACCAACTGAATCAAACTCAGGATCTTCTTAGAAGGGGCCAGGCATGTGTTAAAATGTTCCCCAAGCAGTCTGATTCTCACCTTTGGTTGAGAACCATTGAGCTAGAATTATTTTCAGATGATAGAAAAAAAAGTTTCATAAAAACACCTTAATTTGTTAATAAGATTATGTTGGGGGCCCTGTGTGCACTGTGTCCCAGTATCTTCATGTGAAGCGTCAAGTAAGAATTAGAATGCGACTTTCCCATAGTTATTCTATGAAGTTTTGTGGTTGAGAAACTGTTTCTTCCCATTTCCTACTTTGTCTATGAGGGGCAAAGGTATCATTAAAAGTTAAAGCCCTTGTGACTTAGATATCTGCGTTCTAGTTTATTCTAATTCATTAGGAATTTGTTGAGCCCCTTCTATATATCAACTGTGTAAGAGGCACCGAGACTTCTAGTAATGAACAAAACATTCTGGGACTTAATCTACTGGGTGAGAGAGATGTTATCAAATAAACACTTCAGTATAATAAATAGACATTCTGGTCTGGGTATTATAAAGTTGATTTGAGTATTGATTTATAGTCTGTCAGTATTAAGAAGAGATGAGGCAAAGAATTTGTCATAATTATGTGCAAGTGCATATACACACGCATGTACTAAATGTGTATGTCTGTATATCTTACATATCAATATGTATGTGTATATATTTACATTGTATTTTATTTAGATTGTCTCCAGAGTATATATGCCCACATATAGTGCATGTGTATCTTGTTTTATATGTTTTTTATATTAATGAGTGTCACATCCTGGGGAATCAGTTGAAATGTGTGCAAACCTGCATATAAATACACACGTGTCCATGCACAATGGATGAGTTGGTTTTACAATCCTCAATACTATATTTTAGCCCATTTTTCTCAGTGCTTTTGATGCTTTTGCAATGCTTAATGCTCTTCTATTAAATACTGACAAGTTATTAATACTGTATATTAGAAAGTATTTCTTTCAATTCTTCACCTTTTTAAATTCTTTTCATTTTATATCATCAACTTGAAGAGTATTTTGGGACACGTCAGTGGTGAGATTGTGATGGAAAGTCATGGAAAGTCCTCAATGTTTCTTGAAGAAAGAGAAGCTTGTTCTTGTCACAACAGCTCCAACCTATTGTATATATGATGCTTCCTTTCAAAAATGATGTTTTTCCAGGATAACATTTAATTGCCCTCCAAATTCTTTTCAAGCTACCATATGGTTTAACTTGGGGCCAGGATATTTGAATAGTTATAGCACATTAATCTTCTTGGAAAATGAGTTAATGAGTTACAGAATGGGGACCCTGAAAGATAACTGTCAGTCATCCAATGTAAACAGAGTAAGGGTGGGTGCTGATGGAGAGATAGTGAAGGCAGGAATGCTGGGTGTTTTGTCGAGAAGAACTGGTTGGTGCTCAAGTCACCAGCATGCCTCCACCAGGACTGTGGCTGCATTGGAGCACTGAAAACTTGGGGTTGTCATGAGGTCCCTGAAATGAATGAAAATGACCTTTGAAATAAATTCAGTGCAAATTTGTATTTTTCTTCCTTTTTAATGGGCACTGCTGGGTAGTACAGTTAGATTACATGGTTGAAGAATATTTCATTGATGTCCTCACTGGAAAAAAATTTCAATCTTATCCATAGAATTGCAAATAATCAAAGTTCTACATTTGCCTATGCAGTGTGCTGTAGAAGAGTGGATTAAGTTAGCTCAGCAGCCTTTCCATCATCTCTGAGCCAGAGGAGCAGCAAGGATTCTGATTGGCAGGACTATTTATCATTTTTGAATGCTGATGGTGCATTTTTGTGGCTGAGTCCTTTCTAGGCTTATTGACATTCATAAATAGAAAGGCTCTTCTTTGTAGACTGTTTAATTGGTAATTTAATTTTCTTAATAACTTTCTCACAGGACCTGGATTTTGAAGCCAAAACAAGTTACACGCTACGGATAGAAGCCGCAAACAAAGATGCCGACCCTCGCTTTCTCAGCTTGGGGCCATTCAGCGACACCACAACGGTGAAGATCATTGTGGAAGATGTGGATGAGCCCCCAGTGTTTTCCTCGCCCTTGTACCCCATGGAGGTGTCGGAAGCCACCCAAGTTGGGAACATCATTGGCACTGTAGCAGCTCATGACCCAGATTCTTCTAACAGCCCTGTGAGGTAAAAGCCCCTCGCCATTGCTCTGATTCCTACAATTTTACAACAATGTGCCTTATTCACAACTCATCCTCATTGCACTGGGTTTATAGGAGATAATATCCAGTGTTACGTGTGTACGATCACAACAGCAGAAGTGAGATAGAATCAGAACAACTCGACATTTTACTCATTCAAAATCATGTCTCCAAAATATCTAAGGCCATTGTTATGTAGTAGCATTTTTAAGCATCCATTATTATCTACCAGTTGGAGCTGATGGTCCTGTTTCACCAAGTATCCTGAGCTCTTTCACGGCAAACTATGCTCAGAGATGAAGTGATGTATGTCCTGGCTATAGGATAAAGGCATAAGAAAGGAATTAGGAAAATCATTTCATAAGTAATTTAAATTAGGATTAATATTTGAACAAACCATCTTTCTTGTTGGTCTACCTGGGTAGTAAGCATTTAGTTTATTATTTTTTAATTATAAAAGAATAATTGTCCACTTGTAAAAATCAAAATGATACCTGATCTATGGAAATAGATTTTAAAAATGGCCTCAGTTATCCAATATGGAGACTAGATATGTGTCATTACCAGTGAATCTCTTTGGGACTAAAGAATTGCCATATGTAAGCATTTCAAATTCAGACCACAACCCATTTCAAGATACTCAGTGATCTAAGACTTACATGGGCCTTTTGTTATATGCATATGTTTGTGTGTACTTGTGAAAAATTGGCCTTTTAGCAAATACAATATATAGAATCTACTCAGAGTTACATTGTATTGCATGGCTTCCTTTGGGTTCATAAGTAAGACTTTTCACTGTGATGGTTTGAGTTTCATGTTACAAGTACAAATACTTTATGAAGTACAAGACCCAATGCGTGTTTTATATGTAGACATGGTCAGCTTGTAAGTTAACCACAACCTTGTAGACTTAACTGATATTTAACAATGCTAATTGCTTTTGTGATCACTGCTGAGCTAAATCTGGGCTTGGGCTACAATGTGTCCTGAAAAGTAGCTCTGATTTAGACAGTGATTCTTAGTGAAGAAAAGCTCATGATCTGTGATCTCCTGGTAGGACATAATTAGTATCTTCTTTCCTTCTCTTTTATTTAGTATATCAATAGTGTAGGAAATAAATGGTATAGAATAATTGTTATTTCAAAATGGAATTCATACTCATTATGAATTATCTATACAAAAATTATCTATACAAAAAATTCAGCCTGGATGGATGGTTATATTTAGCCATTTAAAAGATTATCATCTAATTTGTGGGTCACTAATATTCTCAATAGGATAAGCCTTCTCCTCCCTGGAGTAGCTCTGCCTTCAGTTCCCTGACTTAAGGTCACCCCATTCCCCAAGTCTCACTGATGTGAACAAGCTTGTTTGGGATTGTTATAGCAGCCCACCTCTTAGTGATGTGCTTATGACTCCTTCATGCCCAATCAAAGGCATAGATCAACTACTCTGGGTAGTGTGACTTCTGTGTAAGTTGTCTAATTTAATGGGCACAGAGAAAGGGAATGCTCCCCTGAGGTTGGGATATATGGGGAAAAAAACAGTGTGATACCCTAAAATATACAGAGATGAGAGAGCAGAGGCTGAACTCTGTGGATGTGGGAAGGAGAGACCCTGACCAGCATCATAGTTAGGCCTTGTTTTCTTAAACCCAATAACCTTCTATGTATGAATATTTCTTTGGTTCTTGTAAAACTAACTTCCTGACTGACATCTAATACTAGTCATGTTGAAACATTTCTTTACCTTCCTCTATTTTACAAGGTCATTGCACTCATTTATAACTTAGATTTTTCCACATTTATTTCACGTATGTTTCTCCTTCCCTAACTCTTAATGATATGCTTGAAGAAGCCCATCTTCTCAAGTTGTGGTTTAGAGAGTAGTTGTGTACCCCATGCATTCTCTAGAAGCTGGGCTCTCTTCCCAGAATGGCTATTTGCTGAGTGACAGAGAGGATGTCATTTAGTGTCTGAAGTTCCACATAATGCAGCATTACTTAGTCCGGCTTTACACTGGGCTTTCTGATGATTAAGTCAGAAAGGGAAAGAAACTGATATTTTTAAACTCTGAATCCTGACCTAAGTATATTATAATACATTGCTATTATAGTTTACTGTGCTATTATGCACAAGAAGTCAATGAGAGGAAATGTATTTTATAAGCAACTATATTGGCAATCTATATTGAAGATTGTTTTGTATTCACGTATATTCCAATATATAGAAACTGTTGCATGCATTTTAAATGGCTATAAACGTGTATTTGCATTGGAGCTGCTAATAATTATCAAACATAAGTCCTCCTCTGACAAATGCCAATGAGTGTGCAGCCAGCACAGTCTTCTGAGATACCTGGCAAAAATGAACCTCCAGATTGAGATGGGCCCTGAAGAGTCTTTTTTAAAAAAATATTTATTTTTATTTATGCATACAAGAACTGGGATGTAGGCCAGAGGTGGGGGGGATGGTGTGAAAGGATTTACCAGAGATAGAGTGGGGAGCAGAACAGGCGGATCTATTGAAATCCACTGCTGAGGGGAGCAACTGGTAAGACAGGAGAGGTCTGCTGCACCATGTGGGTCATCTCCCTGGCCGGGGATCAAACTTGTGCTACAGTGACTGGGGATAGCTTCATAGCTCTGAGACTTTAACCCCTGAGCCACTAGGAGACCCTGTGGACTCTGGAGTCTTAACAAGCTTGAAGTCTGTGCTTCGACACCTTTAGAAACATAATAGTACATACAGGGGTGGGAAACAGTGTTATTTAAATTTTAGGATATTAGTAGTTGAATTGCAAAACAGCATGAGAAGCTGAATAATTAGTGTTTGAATTTACCAGTGTTCTTTGTAGTATAAAAGTGAAATCTAGCATATGCCCTTTAGATTTGGAGTATTTGCTGACATTTGAGGCAAGAGATTAGAATTCTAGAAAGAAGTACATTTCCTGACCTCCAGCAAGGTAAAATTGAAATTGTCTTCCCACACAATCCCTGCCTAACCTACAGTTGTTTCATTTATTTTTACTGACTCCAGTCAAGTACCAAGGAAAATTATTGATAACTCTTTTCCTTATATCAGCACTTTTCTTTTTTTAAAGATTTATTTTTATTTATGCATATAATAACTGGGGAACAGGCCACATGTGGGGGAAGGTGAGAGGATTCACCAGAGACAGAGCAGGGAACAGAACAGGCAGATTGACTGAAATACACTGCTGAGGGGAGCAGCGGGCGAGTCAGGAGAGGTCTGCTGTGCCATGTGGGTAGCTCCCTGGCAGGCCGGGGATCGAACTCATGCTGCAGTGTCTGTGGATAGCTTGACAGCACTGAAAATTAACCCCTGCACCACCAGGGAGCCCATCAGCCCTTTTCTTAAAAGAAGACAGGCACTCCAATATTGGAACGTAACTATTTTGACCGTTCAGAAGTGTTGCAGCACCGGAGAGAGATCCCACAACCCCAGAGCCCGGTGATTGGCTGGAACACGGCATGTCTTCATTTTGAAAGGTCTTCATTACAGGCTGCCCAGCTCTCCGATAGCTTACCTGCCCACTGTTTGTGTTTGCTTCATGTCCGTCTTTTCCCAAATGGAAGCAGAAGCCAAAGGTGGAAGGAAGGTCAATTCTTGAGATTTCTTAGCTATAAAAAAAAAAAAGTTTTATTTATTTCAAGTGGTCATTCAGGGTCAGTTTGTTTCTAGCTGGTTGTTTTTCTGCAGTTGCTTACCATGTCATGTACATCTTGGCCCCGGATATCAAGTGCCAGGCTTGATCTGTTGAACTGGGAAGGATTGACGTTGTTCTGCTGGTTTCGATCATCTCTCTCACGCTGGACACCCATCTCTGTGTTTCTCATCAGTGAAGTGGTAAAGGCTGTCAGAGCAGCCTCGAGTCTGAGGGACTGTCGTCTCTCATGACAGCACTGGTAGACTGATCAGTGAGCCCATGTGCATTAATTAAGAACCTGCTGTGTACACAACATTAGGGAAAATAACTAACAGCAAAAACAAAGACAAATAAAGCATTTCCTCTCACCTCAAGGAACGTACAGTCTGGTGAAAGAAAAAAAAGATCCCATAAAATCTTGACCACACAAGGGGAAATAGTGCAAAGCTATAATGTGGCAAATTATGAGATTGATTGAAATTAGTCCAAATTCACAGGGCGTGAGCCTTCATTTGAAGGAGTGGCGGCATCAGCCGGGCTTTGAAGGATAGATGGACTTGGACAAGCCAAAAAAAAAAAAATTATGCAAAGTCTCTTTATAGTTTATTGAGTTATAGCCTGAGAGTCTAGTGCTGTATTATGAAATCAGCAAATTTATTTTTGTAGGCAATACAGCGAGCCCAAAGTCCCTATGCTGAAAATAGCCAATGAATGGAAAAGTGATATTACAAATAAGATCAAATGTGAAGAGAGTTGAATCAGAAGTAATGGGGGTCATTTTCAGCATTTCTAATCATTTAAATATAGAACCGTAACTGTGTTTATGTTCAAAAACATGAGGATAATATTTAACTGCGGGCTCTTTTGGCACTCCTGTAATTGTATGTCCTCAGATAAAAGGTGATAAAGTAGTATCAGATATTACATTATGGAGTGTGATTGGTATGAACACATTTGGAGTGCTTGAATAATTCAGTGTGTATTTTTAAGTAGCTTGTATGCATGCATATATTTGTACATATTATTTTAATCTAAATTATTTGTGAGTATCTCACAGAATTAAAGGAAAAGTTGAATAGTCAGTCTTCAGAAAAGAGGAGTAAGATTTTGCTCTAGAGAGGAGCAACAGGAATAAGCAACCAGCTCTTCAGCTTGCAAAATTGGAACCTTTTCTCACTTCCCCTGGTAAGAAGGTTCGTATTTCTTGGAACGTTTTTGGCTTGTCTTTGGACACATGTCCCTCTCTTACCCTGGAGACTTTGGGCAGCTTGCTGTGGAGGCGCACCAAGATTGCATGAGATTGGAAAGGGAAACTGT